TAACCGAAGAGAGATACACAGCGAAAGCTCAATATACAAAATAGATTTCAAATCAGTGTTGGTCCCAGGTTGGCCCGGGGACCCGTCCCCCAACCGGGAGCCTCCCGATTGGACCGGCCGGTCGTCCATGCCGGTTGGTTCCCAGTTTCCCCCAATGCATTTTTGCTGGGGATGGGAACTTTTCTTTTTTTTGGGCCTACGTTGCTTTTTAGACCTCACAGACCTCGTTGGGTTCACAAAACATAAGAACCAGGGCTGATAGGCCTCTCTTTTAATGAAACAAAAAGCGGCCAATCTTACCCACTGATCTTTGTTGATCAGCGGCCAAGATCAGCCACGATTCAAACTTGGGGGGCGGTTCAAAGGGCGCATGCAGAAAACCAACCCCCCCCCCCCGGCTTCGAACTTGGCACATTTTGGAAGCCTCCCACCTGGCGCCGCGCGACCTGTCATGCCCGTTTCACGCGCCATCCAGTGCTGCCGCCATGCTCGCGCCATCATCGTCGAGGGAGACGTCCCGTGCTGCTGTGCCACCGTGCGAGCCCTCCATCATGAGTCGAAGTAGGGGGGAGAGAGAGAGAGAGAGAGAGAGAGAGAGAGAGAGAGAGAGAGAGAGAGAGAGCCTCCTCTCTTCTTCTTCTTCTCCTCCTCCTCCACTACTTCTTCCTTCTCTCCTATTCATCATCATCATCGTCATCTTCTTCTCCTCCTCTTCCTCCTCCTTTTATTCTTCTTGTTCTTCTTCCTCGTATCCTCCTCCTCCTCTTCTTCTCCGTCTCCTCCTCCTCCTCTTCTTCTTCCTCCTCACCTCTTCTTATCCTTTCCTCCTCCACTCCCCTTCGTTTTTTTTTCTCTTTTGTCTGACAAAAAACAATGCCATCCATCAAGATGCCCCCCGCGAGCCCCCCGTCAACACGCAAACCCCTTCGCCGCCTCCACCTCTGACTCTTCTTCACCTCCTGTGCATCTTCTTCTTCTTCTCCTCCTCCTCCTCCTCCGCTTCTACTTCTTCCTTTCCTCTTCACATCGTTTCCTAGTCCAATCCCTTTGTTTTTTTTTCCCGGAGATAAGTCAACCCCATCGTCACGCAAACCCCTCCCCTCCTCCACCTCCTACTCTTCTTCTCCTCTTCTGCATCTTCTTCTTCTTCTCCTCTTCCTCTTGTTCTTCTCCTCCTCCTCCTCCTCCTCCTCCTCTTCTTCTTCATTGTCCTCTCCTCTTCTTATCTTTTCGTCCTCCACTCCCCTTCATTCCTCCCCCCCCCCCCCCCCCAAGAAAACTACGAAAAGTCGACCTCGCCCGTCGACAAGACACCGACACCACCCCCACCCTCGTCGTCATGCAAACCCCTGCCCCTCCTCCACCTCCTACTCTCCTTCTCCTCCTCTGCGTCGTCTTCTTCTCCTCTTCCTCTTGTTCTTCTCCTCCTCTTTTTCTTCATCCCCCCCTGCTATTCTTATCTTTTCCTCCTCCAGTCCCCTTCGTTTCTTTTTTTTCTTTTTTCCGGAGAAAACCACGAAAACTCAACCTCGCCTGTCTACACTGACACCACCCCCACCCCCCGTCATCACACAAACCCGACCCCTCCTCTGCCTCCTACTTTTCTTCTCCTCCTACGTGTCTTCTTCTCCTTCTCCTCTTTTTCTCCTCCTCCTCCTCTTCTTCAAGTTATTCCTCCTCTCCTCTTCATTTCGTTCCTCCTCTCCTGGTGTTTCCCTTCTTCCCCTTCTGGTAACCATAGCCAGAGCTGCCTTTTTCTTCTTCTTCTTCTACTACTACTACTACTACTACTACTACTACTACTACTCCCTCTTCTCCTTCTTCACCCCACTGGTCACCATAGCCATGGTNCCCCCCCCCCCCAGATAATTTTGTTGAGTTCATGGCTTTTCTTTGCTGATTCTGGCTGTTCTTGGCAAGCGCAGTAGAACCCTGGCTTCAAAAAATAAAAATAAAAATAAATTGGACTGGTTTTGCGCCCAACCGGAATTTCGGTTGGACGACCTGGGTCGACCCGGCCCAGTTGCATCCGGGCAGTCCAACCGGCCGGTTGCCAGCTCAACACTGTTTCAAATCTGAATTCCTCCTTCCTTCTCCAACCAATCAGAATACAATTCCCAGAATCTCAACCACGTTTCAACAACTACGAACAAATGTAAAAACCAATTTCAATGGAGTATCTGGGAGACATCTTCTTCCTCCCCGTCACCGTCTGCAAGTCTGGCTATGGCGCCCATCCAAGCAGCACCTCACCCCCGACACCTGCAGACCACCAACATGACCTTCCATCCGCAGGCACTCACCAGGCAGACACCAAATCCCCCGTCTGCCAAGCCAACACCCATTCTGCAATCAGACTCGCTATCTTTTGCACTTCACATGCATGTAAACAGGTTGCACAACAAACTGGCGACAAGCGCCCACTCAGAACTCAGAGATATGGTAGCCAAGAACGCAATTCAGATACAAGCTCACTTCAAATGGCTATGGCGCAACAGCGCCTGTACAACTCTCTGTTCGTCGGCAACCCAACTCTGCTGTTCACACACACCGGATCACCCTGGATATCCCACACGCATCCCACTGTACACACGCGCACACACATACACACTACACTCTCCTGTCAGCTATGGCGGCTATGGCGGCTATGGCCGCTGCTATCCCTATCGCTATGGCTAAGCTCCTTCTCGCCCACTTCGTCTTCGGGCTCACTGCAGACCACCTCACACAAGTCGCTGTGGCAGCGCTTTCGCATGGCTTACGCAGGAATCAATGAATGGCTTGGCGCTGCGTCTTGATTTATACTTCTCTATCTCGTTGGTCTGCCCCTTTCCCATGCCCTTGGTGCACACAGTCCCACACGGTATTTGCTTGACTGGACTGTAACTGACTGGGACCGGTACCGCTGACTGCATGGGGTTGCACTGCCAACTCGATGCAGTCGCACCGCCGACATACCGCAGTTGGGCTCACCACTTGCGCACTTGCCCCGGTCTAAACGTGAGCAACTTCGAAAGGCCACTACTGGGACCTTCCGCAAGGCTGGAAACTTGGCCTTTCGAACACTGTAGCAGCTACGACCTTGACCCTTCAGGACTGTAGCAGCTACGACCTTGACCCTTTGGAGGAGCTATAGCTACGACTTCTAGAACTTGCTACAACTATCCGACAGGTCTACAGATCGAACCCCTATACCCTACAGACCTACGACAACCTACCACTGTGAGGAAAGACACAGGTCGTGGGTTCAACTCTCAGGGTGGACACAGATACTGTACACAGGTAAGGTGATGGTCTAGGGATCGAGCCCTGGGACTTGTATCCGCTACTGCGAACAGGTGAATACCGTTTCAATTCCCTCGGATGCATTTCCAGACAGACCACCTCCATTCGGTCCTCCTATCCCTGGTAGAGGATATGAGGTGGAGAGCATTGAGGCTCAGTGGGGCACAGGCCCCGACTGTGAATATCTTGTCAAGTTCCTATTCGATCCACATACTGAAGACCGGTGGCTTACTATGAAGGAACTTCTTATTGCAAAGTCTGTTTCATGAGGCTGCACACAAAGGGCAATTGCCCCAACGTTCACCCCCTGGACACTCCTAGCTCGAGTTCATCGCTTCCCGGAAGGGTAGGAATGCAATGAACTTGCAGTTTCTGAGGGAGCTGTAACATAACAGAGTCGTGTTTGCTTTTTTTTTTTATCCTTGGGCCCTGACCGGTAACTGTGGGGCAGCGTAGTTCCTACGGGGAATTTTCAGTGATTCTTCAAAATTCAAGTGTGTTTTTGATCGAGAGCTTAATGTATGACACAAAGTTTTACCTATCTACTTCTCCAAACACAATATCTTGAGTACCTATGATAGTAACCACATCCACGAGCATGTGATGTTTCACATAAAATCAAGCCCTTGTAAGTGAGTAAAACCAGGTGCTCAAATTTTACAATGATAAGGACGATTGGTTCCGTTGCTAACTAAATATACACCAAATTCTCCTTTGGGTGCTTCTACATTGATTTGATTCGTTAGTGGATATATATGACACCAAAACAAACAAACAAAACAAATACATATTTGATGATTACTAAAACAAACACTCTCGAAAAAAGAAAAAAGAAAATTTTGTGTTACTTCATGGTGAATATAGTCTCCTAGAATTTCCTCTATTCCTACATGCATATGCCAAAAAAGTAGGATATTTAACAAGATCAAAGTGGAAACATTTGCTAAAGCCTAAAAGAATAGTTGGAATTAAAAAGCAGCAGTAATCCGTTGAACCAGTACTATGCCGCCCCACACTTACCGGTTAGGGCCCAAGGCTACAAAAAATAGCAAACACAACCCTATTATGTTACAGCGCACTCAAAAACTGCAAGTTTATTGCACAATTCAAATGGAGTGAGCACGAGAGAGAGAGAGAGAGAGAGAGAGAGAGAGAGAGAGAGAGAGAGAGAGAGAGAGAGAGAGATTAGCATTGACCGTTGATGTGAACATTAGCCCCGTCTGCATCAGTCTTCCCTTCTGCTCACTATATCTCCCTGTAGCACAGCATGCGCAATCTTGACTGCAAATGGTCCTCAGCTTCACAGTGTTCACACAGATCTTTCCTCCATTGGCCCAAGTTTGGAAAACTGGAAACAGCTTTTCCTGGGCGAACATGGTACTGCCAGTCCTGACAAGGAAGCATCCTTGTTTTGTTTGTTTGTAATGTAGTGAAAGGTGAAAGTTGTGAAAACACTCAGATTCATATGAGCAACAAGAAGTTTAGATATTCACTGTCCATGAGATTTCCATAAACCATGCATCAGTTTCAGTATGGAACCTGACCATAAGAGAGCAAAGACAGATCGGAAGGAGTATGGAAATCGGTTCGATGTACACCGTAGAGGCCGCAATAGAAATGTTTTGACACCATGCACAGGTACCAAGCACTATCCATGCAGTCATTTTTTTCTCCAAGTTCAGAATTGTTCATCTACTCATAAAGATGGTGCATACCAGCTCACGAAGACCGGAATCCCCCAGCTTGCTGTTCAGGAATGAGAGTTTTTTGAGAGCTGAAGCATACCCTGCGCACAGGTGACACACAGCTAATGCATTAGAACTGCAGCCATACATGACAAAGGTCTGATGAGCAGCAACTGTCATGTCTTGGCAAAGATTTCTAAAGATTTAGACTGATGTTCAGCACAAGCACAATGAATAGTCGACACTACCTTGAGAGGGGAGGAAACATAATTACATGATATCCAGAGGATCAATGTGAAATGAATGGTGCAAGGAATACAACTGAAAGGTAGGTTTTTGCGAGGCTTTTGCAAGGCTTTGGATGAGATCCAACGAAGTAGATTTTAAGGGAGATGTTGAAGCTATGTCAAGATGAAAGCCCGCCCCTCCCCACTCCTTCCCCTCCCTGGCCCACCCCTCTCTTCCCTCTTCCAAGACTGCACAGCTCATTGTGTCATTATAGAAGACAGTGCAGCTAACGAACAGAGAAGGGGCATGTGTCTCTGCAGGGGATCGTGTGTCACCCTCCCACCTCCAACCCCCTCCATTCCTTCCCCTCTCTGGCCCATCCCTCTCTTCCCTCTTCCCCAATTGCACAGCTCATGTGCCATTACAGAAGAGAGTGCAGCTCATGTAGAAAAGGGGCATCTCTGTAGGGGACCATGTCACACACCCAACACCAGAGAGGTTGCTCGTTCTTGACAACCTATACTGGGCCAGATTTCAGGCTTGAGCCACGGAGAGTGAGGAGATGGATACGGCCGAGAAGTTAACCGCATTGGCAAAAACAAGTTACTGTCAGGATGAGCTGGATGAGATTTCTGGATATGGCTGCAGGCACAAACCTATGGCCTTCCCAAGAATTTGCAGCATTCCAGCTTCAAGGGGAAATCCAAGTTCCAGCACCCTCAACACATGTGTTCTTACCAGGGCTTGAGCCAGAGACCTGCGCCAAGGAAAGGGAAAACAGGTGAGATGAAGATCTTCAAACTGACTGGGCCTGAGCAATAAGCACCATGTATTACTGGAATGTCACACAGGTCTTCAAACACCATCAGTAACAAGGTGTCCAAGCCCCAATCCAACCACACTTGTGTAGTGACTCGTATTGAGAGAGCACAATCCACCAGGAAAGTACTTGACAGTTCCGGCAATAAAGGCGATTACCATAGACATAACAACCGAGCAGCATCCCTTCCAGCCCTCCGAGGTTAAAGCACCACTGCATTTCATAACGTCCCAGGATTCCTCAAGGCCGCAATTTTTTGGAGTTGCCTGCCTAAACCGTTGGATTGAAGATCCTACAGCCTCAAAAACTTCTGGTGACCACTGGCCTTGATACCAGCACTTTCCCGGTATGTTAGACACAAGTGTTTTCCTCGGATGTTAGTGGTGATTTAGACAGGGTGAGAACAAGCAATCGATCATCAATTGACATCGACAGGTAACGCCCGCATGTGACAGGAGGTAACCTATGTGATCTCCACCTCCCTAGCCACACACAGTGACAACAGACGACACCCGAGCTATAACCATGAGCTCAAACATTGCCACCTAGCTAGCCAGACACAATCGCAACAGAAGACTCCCGAGCTATAACCATGAGTTCAAACATTCAAGACCGCTCTCTTCACTGTCATGCAGAACATGAGTTGACATGCTGCTGCTCCAGCAAATATGACCCCAAGAAATTCAAAGCTTTGGATCTTAGCATGTATCAAGACAAAACCAAGCAATACTTTGCTACCATTTGCACCCGAAAATAACGCCCCGGGCATTATATTCAACTTAGCAACTTGCCCTAAAAAAGTCAGTTTGTTTATTACTCACTTTTTTGTTTTTCACGAATATAACACCCCTTCCGATATAACACTCGGGCGTTATATAGTAATGTGGCATGGGAAGAATGCCTCGTAGAGGGGGAAGGGGGGTATACATCGGGGTTAAAGGGGGCTGAATGGGATTTTGACTTCAGAGGGGTGTGTTTTGGTTTGATTTTTTCATACTTGCAAGCAGACGGACCGGACAAGCGTCCGGTCCGGTCCGCTTTGCTGC